AAACAGGGTGGTTAAACCAGCTTCACATGGAACAAAATCTGGCAAAGGCTTTCAATCAGTCATATAAAGTAAAGAATTGTTAAATTGAGTTTGATCTTTGTGATTGAAAGTGTCAGGAGATGGAAATAATGCTGGAGGTAAGGGATTGTAATTTCTTGGAAAGATGGATCCCAAAGTTCTAAAGGTCTTAGTAGGGCTCATATAGGGAGCTATCATCTCGATGAGAGCCAGTAACTCAACAAATGCTTAGACACAGGTGAAACTAGATCCCCCTCATGTGGATCTGAAGCTCGATGGACCTGCCATGTATATGAGCTCATTGCGTTTGATTGAGGCTGCTCTAGTACGAAAGAGACTAGAAGGATACCTGACGGGGTCGAGCCAAAGAGTGACAATGTTGAATGAGATGAGTGGATGGCCATACCTTGCTTTACACCTGGTTACTTAACTCGTTGCATTATCAGTGGATAACATTTGAAAGGTGAACAATATTTAGGCGAAGCTGAAGAAGATCTATATCGAAGCTAAGAACCACATGAGGGTGTTTTAGATTCAATGTGGTGATAGATTGATTCAAGAGTACTCTATAGATCTGGAGCAGCTATGACAAGATCTTGATTGCTTCTCACGTGTAGAGCCGTGGTGATCTAGGGTGTAGGTAGGAAGGGATCTTTGCACATATAAGGACTATGCAGTTTCTCACTCATCTAAACTTGACATTTAATCGAAGGAGATAGGTTCTCTTAGCTCAAGTAACTATTTCTACCCTAGATGAGGTCATTGTTACGATGATACAGAAGAAGAGCCAGAAGAAGCTACACTCTAAGTCAAGTTGTTTTTTGGGGATCGCCATTGGCTGCCACGAGCCCAAGTATGGTAAGTGTTTATATGAAGACTCACAAGTGCTACAATTGTGGTGAATTTGGTCGTCTGAGAAGGACCTGCCCTAAGCCACATAAGGATAGAGAGATAGGTGGACGTAAGCAATGTGGAGGCCATGGTCATGGTTATGGGGGTCAGAAAGGTGGAAGAGGGGGCTACCAGACAAATTTGATGGTAGTAGAGGACGAGGGAGAGACATGTGTGATCTTTATTAGTGAGGATCATCAGTGTGGAGTTGTGCAAGAGGAAACATCAGCAGGAGATAGAGCTGAGAATGTTTCAAATCCATCTACATCAAGGAGTAACATTGCCACTTATGCTCGCTTCAGCAAAGATACTGGTGACGCACTTGCTCTTGCCTCTATTTTCACCACAGAATCATCAGAATGGATCATAGATTTTGGTGATTCTCATCACCCGACATGTACTACTAGAGAGTTCTTTTCATATACTCATCTAGTAATGCAAGAGAGTATACAGATTGTTGATGATACAACCAACCTATAGTTGGTACAACCAATCACATGACTTTGTCTAATGTTTTGAGTAAACCTCTTATCCATTAGTGAAATTATTCTTCAGTTAAAATTCATTATTTTCTTTATATTTCTCAGGTGAATTTGCAAGAGAAAGGGATGGGTTGAACACTTGGGATTGGAACATGACATAGCGGACTCTGATACTTGGACCGAGAGGGGATGTAATCAACTCTGACATCCATGGTGGATGTAGGAGAATCTGAGAGGAACGTCGATGATGTGTTACTGCAACTTCACGGACGGATGAGACATTCTAGTCTTACTTTACTAAGTTAGTTGTATCCATCTATGTATGAAAAGGCAAATAAATAGAAATTGGTGTGTGATGATTGCGATTTTGACAAGATAACTAGGAGCTCTTTCATCAGTCCTGGGAATAAAAGATCTGATGTGTTTGATTTGATATATTTTGATGTATGTGGATCTTGTCATACTAGTTTTATGAATGGTTATCAGTAAACTGTTACGTTTATTGATTGTTTTTCTCATGTTATCTGAATATACTTGATGAAAAAAAAGAGTGAGGTGGTTGCTCGCTTTAAAAATTTTCACAAGGCAATCTAGATTCAATATGATATAGTTATGAAGGCACTAAAATTTGATAATGAGACATAATATATCAACAAAGTATTTGAAGACTACCTGTTAACTCAAGGGATACAACATCAAACCACATGCCCATACACACCAACACAGAATGAAGCAGCAAAAAGAAAAAAATGACATATTCTAGAGGCAGCCTGTAGCTTGGTGATGGCAATGAATGTCCCACAACACTTATCGGAGCAAGTAGTGCTTACTGCCGCTCAATTGATTAACAAGATGCTCTCAAGAGTGCTGAAGTGGAAGTTTCATTGTCAAATATTGAAAGGAGACAATAGTGAGATCCTTTCATTGAAGGTATTTGGATGTGTATGCTTTGTGAAATGCACCTGACCATCTGTAGGGAAGTCGGATCCCATAGCTATTGAATGTGTGTCATTGGGGTATTCTGCTACTCAGAAGAGTTGTGTCCGTTGGAGTCTGATTGAGAAGAGATTATTTATGAGTATGAATGTGTCATTAGAGAGTTTGAACCATACTACAATCTGAAGGTGAATTTACCTTTCAATGACTCAACATACACTAAAGATATGAGACAAGAGAGAGTAAATAGTAGTGGTGATAGAGAGGTTCAAGTGGGGGCAATGCCATGTTCTGTGATGTAGGATGAATCAACTGAGGAGACAAAAATCGAGGAGATTAAACCCATAAGTGGTGGGATTTAGGTTGCATGTGAGTTAATGGTGTATGCATAAAGGAAGAAACAAACTGATGGAATCGAGCCTACAGTGCCAACAAGTCCTTTTTTTCAGTCTTCCCCAACTCTCGAGACACCTACATCATATACTTTTGATTCAAATCTACCCCCCCCCCCCCCCCCCCCCCCCCCCCCCCCCAAAACGTTAAGGAAGACCTCTCGCAGCTATGTGGAACATCCTCCTAATCCTTTTGGGTGTTAACTTGACATTGAAAATTTTATTTCTTATTCTAACATCTCACCTTAGCATTGAGCATTCATTGCATCATTGGACTTTGTCTCTATACCTAAGTATTGGCAAGTTTCTAAAGAGGACCCCAAGTGAAAAGTGGCGTTGCATGAAGAGCTTAAAGCTCTTGATAATAACCGAACATAGAAGATTGTACCACTATCACCATGGAAGAAGGCAGTTGCATGCAAATGGATCTTCACGGTAAAGCAAACTCCAAAATGGAAGTTTGAGAGGTACAAAGCATGATTAGTGACAAAAGGGTATAATCAGAATTATAGTATTAACTACGATTTAACCTTTGCACCAGTTGTAAAGATAAGCATGGTGATGATATTGTCTTCTCTGGCGGTGAATAGTAGATGGAGACTCCACTAACTGGATGTAGATAATGTTTTTCTTTATAGGAGCCTACTGAAGGAGCTATATATAGAGATAGCACCATGATTCATTACATCCTAGACAGTGGGCAAGGTGTGTAGGATAAGGAAGTCACTATATGGCTTGAAGCAGTTTCCTCAAGCCTAGTTTGACAAGTTTAGAATGACTATGGTTGGCATGAGTTATCATCAGATCAATGCAGACCACAGTGTTCTTTCGACAACATGAAAGTCACACTATCATACTTGTTATCACTGTTGATGTTGATGTAGAGATTGGTCAACTGAAGTAAATATTGGGAAAGCAGTCTCCTCGAGCCTAATTTGACAAGTTTAGAATGACTATGGTTAGCACGAGTTGTCATCAGATCAATGCAGACCACACAGTGTTCTTTCGACAACATGAAAGTCATACTACCATACTTGCTGTGTATGTGGATGACATAATTATCGCTGGTGATGTTGAGGTAGAGATTGGTCAACTGAAGGAAATATTGGGAAAGTAATTTGAGGTAAAGGATCTCAGACAACTCATATACTTTATTGGGATCGAAGTGACCCATGGACCTAAGGGGATAGTTCTATTCATAAGAAAATATGTACTAGATCTTCTCACGGAGACAAGTATGCCAAGGTGCAAACCCGCAGTCTCTCCAATTGATCAGCAGTTTAAGCTCAACACAGAGACAAGTGAAGCAATTGATCATGAGAGGTAACAAAGGTGGGTAGCCTCATCTAGCTATGCCACACTCGACCAGATATTTCTTTTACAGTAATTTTGGTGAGCCGCTACATGAATGATCCAAGGAAGGGTCATATGGATATAGTATATCATATTTAAAGGTATTTGAGGAGTGCACCAGAGAAATGGTTGATATTCAGAAAGAATGAACATGTAGAAATTAAGGGCTTTTGTGATTATGACTGGACAAGTTGTGCTAATGCAGACGATCCACATTAGGATACTGCGTGTTTGTGGATGGCAACTTAGTCTCGTGGAAGAGCAAGAAACAGTCAGTTGTAGCAAGATTAACAACAGAGGCATAATATAGGGACATGGCATTGGGAGTTGCTAAGATGATGTGGTTGAAAATGTGGTTGAAAGCCTTGTTAGTTGAACTCAAAGTGGATCGGGGAACTTAAATGAAGCTATGGTGTGACAACTGCATTGCTAACGATCTGGTGCAACGTGATTGAACTAAACATGTGAAGGATATGTTCTCCATCAAGGAAAAGCTAGAGCTAAGTCATGTAGCCACTAGAGAGCAAGTGGTTGACTACCAAACCAAAGGACTTGGCTCATTAGATTTGTCGAGATTATGTGACAAGATGGGCTAATTGAATACTTTTGCCCAATCTTAAGAGGGAGTGTTGGCATTTATATCTAATGTAGTCCTATTTGTAAACAAATTAAATCTAAGAATTTATTTGTAAATGTTGTAACTCGTAAGACTGTATATAAGCTCGTCATCAATAAAATGAATGAAATTTTTTATTTTATTATTTATCTATTTATTTTGAGTAGCAATTTCTATTAATCTTATCGTAAGCTTCCTCTAAATTAATAAAAATCATATTTGGATCCTCCTTACTCTCTATGTACTTCTCCATCAAACCTAAATAAGATGCAAAATAAGATGCCAAATAAGATGGACACGCATTTTGAGAAGAATCAGTTATTTACGTTTTTTCTTTCCCTTCCTCAACCCATTTAGTAATTTATTCTTCACCAATCCAAAATCTTAAACTGGGATATGGTGGGATTTTGTACAGTATTGGTGAGGACGTTAGCTTATGTACAAGTTTTGTTTGACTGTAAAACAAGCACAAAAGATGCCAAATATGGACAACTGTTATTTGTGAGAATGAATTCATCTTCTTGCTCTAAATCACAGTGCCAACAACAGCAGGAATTGCAGATGCAGATGCGGATGGACAGAAGTCGGGTCATCTGGGGGAGAAGATTGTAGCCAATCCCTTGTCTACAACCAATTGAATCGGAGAGCCATAAGCCATTAGATCCGCTTCTTTACCACGCACGCCAGTACCATCCCCCCTTGCAATGACTTCACCATCGACATCAATGATGCCTCCTTTTGTGGGGTTCTCCACACGGTTGCCAGGAACCAACCGAAATGCTTTCACCTGAAGGAGTAACATGAATGTCCATCCTTTAAAAAAATTTAGCTATGAGAGTAAGAAGGAAATGGCAGCTTTAGATTGGGTTACTTACTTTGAGATAAATCACATATGGCGACTTAACATGGGTTCCATCACTCATCTTCTTCAATAAAGATATAAGGGTAGCTTTTGCACAGTCCTTCAGAATAGCCAAGTCAAGGAACCCATCCGAAAACTGTAAAGCAAAACAGCAATGTCATGAAAATGCAAGCAAAGAGTAGACATAAACACACACACAGACAAATACATAGAGAGGAAAAAAGAGAGAATCTATATAAAGAATCCAATGAGATATTAAATAACATGAGAGAGTCGAGTGGTACCTTGGCTTCAGGTGCGGGTTTAGCATCTTCTCCAATCCAGGGAACATTGAATAGTGAAACAGATATGAAGGGGCCTTCAAGAAATCTCCAATCTGAATGATCAAAACAATCCGTGGGGCCCTGGTAACCACCATGCAACACTTCAGCACTGTTACATCCTTGTGCCTTGGAGGTATTCATGCTCCCTCTATCCTTTACTTCTTCCCCATAGAATTCGTGCCCCGGAGCAGGTACAAACTCAACTCGCCCATGATACTTGCGCAACTTCATGGTTCTTATAAAACACTGGAACAAACGCACCACTAACAATAAGCCATCACAGTAGATAACTTTTAACTCAAATATGATAGTTTGAAAATCATGCAAGCATATTAAAAGACAAAAATAGTGTACATGGGCTTTAATAAACACGTCAATCCCCAAATCTGGCAGTAAAATGTTTCGCACACAGTAACGAGCAAACTTGTAAGCATATGCTTCAATAAATTTTAATTAAACGTTTAAATCTAATGTCTGAGAGTACCACACAAACTAAAATTGAAATAAAATCAAGCTTTATTTTAAAAATTGTTCAGCTCTTGTAAGGAATGCAAACTTTTTTTTTAAGGTTACACATTAACACAACCTCAAGTGGATCCCTTTGTTTAAAGGGCAAGATTGCAAGTTCAACTTAGCAGCTTTTATTCCCTTCATTATGAGAACTAAAATTGACGAGACTAATGCTGTTAAAAACATTCAAGCAGTGACTATTAACCAAATTATAAATGAATGATTCTGGTTCATACCCTCGGTCTAACACAATTAGTTTTTCATTAAAGGCTGAGAACTAAACGCTCTCAAACAAGCTCTACAAAAGTCATTTTGTTATTCATTTATATATGGCATTCTGAGATCCATATAAAAAAAATCATCTGAAAATGAAAGCTTTTTAACATCAGTATGTTGATGAAGTACAATCTTAAATGCAATTTTTCTATTGACTTGTTCATCTCCATATGGGGAAAAAGTATACATGATCTACAATGTAAAGGGGGCTAAAAAACTTAAAACTATGAACCCCTATGAAGAACATGTTCATTACAAATCATAATTGAGGGGGTCCACATCTTAAATCAAGATTTTTACATTATGAATCCAAGTTATACAAACAGTCTTGCTCTTAACGATAATTATCTTAATAAAAAATCTAAAGCCTGTTATGAAAAATCTTAATCAGATGTGATTCTATTTCATCACTGAAATGTTTTGATATCTTTCAATTTTCTTACAATATTGTAATAGCAAATAGATTCAGTAACCCCTGCTAAAAAGAGTAGAGAATTGATCCAGCTACAAAGGATACTCACTTTAACCCCAATCAAATTCAACTTTCTTCTATGTTGTTTTAATGATTCTTTGTTGTATTTTATGTCGGTTCATCTTAATCACTCTTTTTACAATCATTTTGTAATTTTTACATTTCTTTACTAAGAAGTATTCACGCAATTTTCCATTAAAAACTAAATAACAGTTGGTAACAAAATTTTGAGGATAAATCTAGGTGTCAAAGATTATTATGTTGGATAGCTTCAAATCTAAATTTTGACTAATTTAGAATTAAAATGTATTTTCTAACTCCTATAAATAAAATGCACGGGCTTTGGGCTACGTGCAAAGATGGCCAATATGAGGATCTAAAAAATTTTTCCCTTGTTGCTAGGTTTGTTTCTACAATTAAGAAAAAGAAAATTTTGAGAGAATTTATATATGTGTGTGTGTGCGCGCGCGCGCGCGTGCGTGTGCGTCAATATGAGGATCTAAAAAATTTTTCCCTTGTTGCTAGGTTTGTTTCTACAATTAAGAAAAAGAAAATTTTGAGAGAATTTATATATGCGTGTGTGCGCGCGCGCGCGCGCGTGCGTGTGCGTGCGTGCGTGTGTGTGTGAGCCGTATACCCCGGCATGTTGGTTGG